CTGAAAAGGACACTAGACTCTCCTGGATGAGACTCCCCTCTGTGAAACACTGTCGACCCCCACAGGAAGGGAGCGCCTCCCTGAGCAGGTTTCCTCTGTATTTGACACATTTCCAAGTCAAAGTCTTTTTCGAGGCTTATGAAATTGTCCAAATGTGCAGTCTGGTAGAGGGAGCTGTGCCTGAATACTATCCGGGGCTTTCAAACCACACAGCCTTTAACGCTGAGGGTGAGCCATCCAAAAAAGTAATCTGTTAACACGTGGAGCCAGTTTTTGGATGGCAACACTTGAATACTGAGAAGTCAGAGCTCTCAACATAGCGAGGGTGATGAAAAAGCAGAGGGCCTGCAAAAGACACACACACACACGCGCGCGCGCGCGCTACATGAAGCCTAGCTTCTAAGCACTGAGATCCAAGACAACTGGGGCCTAGCTGGAGTCCCTCAGAGCGTGACTAGTAGAGCATGTTGCTGCCCTGGGACGCCCTTGCCAAAGGCCTTGGAGACCCTAACCCGCCCTAGTTGGCTGTGACCCAAGAGCATCAGGGCTTGGGAGGAAGTCCTGGGGCTGAGCCTGCTGCAGTCTGCCAATGTGGATGCTGCGGGCAGTCCTGGCCACCACAGCAGGAAAGCAGGTCAGGCTCCCTTCAAGTCTGGGCACAAAGGATATTTCAAGACTAGCAAAGGGGATGTGCTGCTTATAACAGTAGGTAGGAGAGAGACATAGGGAGCACGTGATCTGAGAGGTGATACCAGTAGTAATTTTAACTTGGCTTTGGATAACTCTTAGATAAAATCTAGAATTCCCACATTAACTAAAGTGGAACTCTACATATGACAATTGGTTAGAATAAGTCACAATGACAGAAATCAAACCAGAAAAATGGACTATCAATGACAATAAAATCACCTGAAGTCATATTAAATATGGGGGGTCGTGGTAGAGGGTGATGAGGGGAGTACAAGGTAGCCCATGTGTTGGTAACTGAAGGTGGGTGGTGGCTGCACTGCAGCTCATTGTACTCCTCTGTCCACTGCCATATGCTTCACATTTTCCATAAGAAAGTTTACAGAACAAAGTGTAGTTAGATCCTACATCTGAGGTCAAGCTGATGACTACAGCTTCCCACAGATGCCCAAGCACTGTGCCCCTCGGGCCTGTACCACAGTCTCTGCTTCTAGGAGGCACAAAAAGCCAACAGTGACCAGTGTCCATCCTCAGTGCTGCATCCACCAGAAGTTCAAAGCAGCAGTACCCTGGGCTTCTCTTGGAAAGATCAGAGGCATTCCAGAATGACTTTAGTTATAAAGGCACCAGCCAAGAGCAGACGACAGATGCCAGCCAGGGTACTCGGTGCCCAGAAGCCCAGGGAGACAGGTGGAGGGTGCTGCTCCCACTGGCTCCAGTTGCCCCCTCTCCACCAAAGTCTGGCTCCAGTTCAACTCCTCTGGGTGAAAATCAACTAGAGGAAAAGAGAAAAGGGGACTTGCCCACTCCAGGGTCAGGCACTCAGGCCAGACGAGCAGACAGATGCCTTTTCGGGCCCAGTCTCTATGAGAGATTCAGAATGCGGAGCCACAGTGTTCACCACCACTAGATCTATGCCAGCTTCCCTTTGACTCACTCATCCCACGAATCGAAGTCCCATGGCCTGTGGGCACAAACTCCCTGTGCACAGAGGAACCATTTTCACATAGCACAACAAGCAGAATTCATCTCTGCCTGGGCTGTTCCTGACATATGTGAGCTGGCTTACGTTTCCATAGCAGTCTTCATCATCTTCCGACATGGCCGGTAAATAGGCTGTGAGCTTCGGAGGCGTCTGATGATGCAGATTCTCCCACGTGATGGACTCGAAGAATGGATGAGCTTTCAGAGGGCCATACCCTTCCATTTCTTCACAGCCTAACCGCTTTGTGGCATCTAAAACCTTAAATGAAAGTCAAAGCAACTTAGTGTAAGGGTTAAAAAGTAATTCTGACCAAAAAAAAAAAAAACCTTTTGAGTATTCTTTTCAATTCTGAGTATCTACTGGAAATAAAAGGGCAGTGGCTTATCGCACCCAATCCCACCGTGGGCTGGGGACAGAATGAGTCACCTATGGGTTCCTTTCACTTCTCTAGGGTTTCTGCCCCTTTCCTTCCCACAGGTGACAAGGAATGACAACCTCAAATTTTAATGAATAGCAGCAAGTATTATTTTAAAATATACATCTGAAAATCATAAAACAAGGAAAAAATGAACTTACTGGCTTTAATAACAAAGAGAACAAAGAATTCGTCTGGATAGTAAACTATCACAGAGAGCAAAGCGCCCGTGTCTCCCACCAGCACTTGACATCACAGGGTCCCACAGCTGTCTCCTCTGGGATTCAGCTGTGCTCCCCCTCCCCCTAACCCACAGAGGATCAAGCATTCACTCCCCCTGCTACCCACTGAGGGGACAGACACAGGAAGGACAGGCAGCAAGAGGCTGTTGGGCGTTCTCCCACTGCCAAGGCAGAACTGACCCTGCTCTTCCAAAATCCAGTTAAGGCAAGGTCTAGAGCCAAAGTCCCCAGGGACAGGGACACTGCAGTTTCTAGAACATAAACAGACATACCTTTCCTGGGTAAATCTGTTTACCTCTGCTATATTACCTGGGTTGATCTTGAAAACTTCATGTAGCTGACTCTAAAGTTGATATCCACAGATGTCACTAAGTAGAATTTATGGCTATCTTGTTCCTGCATCAGGTAACTTAAAATGCTATGTATGTCGATAAGCAAATGCAAAATGATACAGTAATTTCCTGTCTTATTAAGCAAGAATCAGGCATTTGGAAATTAAAAAGAGCTTATGAGATGAGACAGAAGAAATGAACGTATCTATAATCACTATTAACCCTCAAACAGCCTTTTATTAAACACAGGTGCCCCCAGGAAAGCCCCTCTGACCACAGGTTCAGACTGAGAGTGCGGCTATCAGATCATCTTACCAGAAGAAAATTCAAAATATTTACCAAAAGTTTTTCCACCAGGTCTCGTGCCTTAGGGAAGAATTTTTCAGGAAAGTCATACTCCAACTTAATGATCTTCTGAAATATAAGGTATTCGTTTCTGTAAAATAAGAGGAACGATCATTCCTGGCAGGGTCACACAAACCTCTCCAGAACAGAGCTGCACCTTTCCCAGGACAGTAGTCTCCCTCTTTCTGCACAGGGCCACCGTCTTCATTTAAGAATTATCGTGAAAGTTCCCACACCGTGGCCCCGCCCCCTCCACTTCCGTGTCTCGCTGCTTCCATGGGCGGAGGTGTTGGGGTGAGGGAGGTAGGGGTTGGGAGGTGTCTCTTACCCTGCTCGAAACGGAGGCAGTCCTGCCACAAGCTGGTATATTATACATCCAAGAGCCCAAAGGTCTGAACTTTAAGGGGGGGGGGGACAAATAAGAATGACATTTGTAAAATTTCAGTGAAAAGCATAGTTTATTTCCGTGCCCTCTGTTCATAGCGCCCCATTTCAGCCTTCAGTCTACTGCTCTCTTTTAAAACTAGGTCACTGTGAAGGTGGGAACCTGATCCAGGCCATTCTTGAGGGGGCCTCCCTGGGGACTTGGGCACAGGAAATCCTGCACATACTTTCTTCCAGTGCCGCTGGTAGGGGATGTTGTGGGGGAGACTAAGGCGGCTTGTCCCATATCATTGGCAGGTGGGTACAGCTAAGAATAAACTCAGATTCTCTCATAACTCACTCAGTGTTTACCCCAAGGAAACAGACACAAGCTCACATATACATATGCCAAGGAGCCAAATTAGACAATCTATAGGATGTGCACAAAGCAAGCTTTCTCTTCCTTTCTTAGACTGACTGCACAAAGCCCTGCTTCTCCTTTATAAACATTTTAATTATAGGTTTAAAAAAAATATATTGCAGTTCTAAATTGCCCTAAGTCATATCCGGAACCAGCCAGTGGGGATGGAGGTGGGGTGAGGGTAAAGGGGGCTGCTCCCTTCACCCTGGATGTCACACCACCATCCAGCCTGCTCTCATCCATTCTCTGTCCCCTCAGTGCCATCTCAGTGCTCACAACTGACATTTACTTTGCATATTTGATTTCCTCTGTAGGTTTTACATTCTATTCCCAGCTTAGGCCTACGAAAGCATCAAGATGCACCTTGCCCCACACTGCCAGCCACTTCCCCCCTAAGCCCTAAGTGGATGGAGAGCTCAGGGGTGGCTGGATATGGTCAATTTCTGGAAGAGGCTATAGCCTGGCATCTGGAATGAGTGGAGACAACAGGCCAACTGTAGTGCAGGACTTTGGGTGAAGGCTCTGTATCACTAGCACCACAGGCCTGGGACAGATGAGGCTCTGGATGTAAGTTAGAAATGCAACAGATCAGAAATCTGAGTCACAACACACAGATGGAATGAAGAGCATTTTAAAAATAAATCTACATTCTATTCAATAACTAGTTTTTACACTTGGTTTTCTCTACTGTTTAGTTAAAATAGGGAGCTACACAAGGAAAATGCTACAGCAAAGCATCAGCCTTTTGGTGTGGAAGTGGCCAGAAAGGACAGGCAGGGCTGCCTCTGCTGCTCCAGAGGGCAGGGCCACCAACGAAACCTGCTTTGGGGCTAATTCTACCTCTGTGAATTATTTGAATGTTTTATCATTAGCAGATTAAATGATATCTTATCATTTAATTTATTATTATTATTTTTTTACTATAATAAAAACTAAAGGGGGAGCCAGTGTAACATTTCTGGAAAGAATTATGTACCAAGGATTTTTAAAATGTTCAGTTAGGCTAAATTTCTACTTCTTGAAATTCAACATAGGAAGAACTAAGGGCAGCCTTGGGGCAGCCCTGGCGCCGCCTGGCAGGCACCCTACTTCTCTCACTGGATGAGCAGAAATGCCCTTATGTTCCACAACAAAAGATGTGCAAGCACACAGTAGGCATGCCAGACTGTGCCAAATAAATGAAACCCCTTCAATGTCCAACGATAAAGGAAGAGTTTAATGAACAATATATTCATATGCTGGAAAACTACACAGCTGTTAAAAATATCTGCAAATAATTTAGCAACATGGGGAAATGTTCATCATGTAATCACAACAAGCAGGATTCAAAACTGGTTATTCTGTATCACTCTAAGTTGTATAAAAGTTACGTAAAAACATATTAAAACCCATAGAAAAAAATAACTAGGAAGATATACCAACTCATTACCTGTGACTGTGAGTGGGCTGGAGACTGTTTTTTGTTTTTTTATTCTCCACATTTTCTAAGAATTCTTTTCAATGAATAGGTATCACTTTTAGAATGAGAAAAAATTCTTAACTAATTCTGAATAAATATCACATGTTAAAAAAATTAAAAGCCTAAAAAGATATACAGTGGTGTCTCCCTTACAATCCTTTCCCTCGGCCCACAGATAACCACTATTATCCATTCCTTGTATATCCTTCTGAAATGCTGTAAATGCACAAATGGATCTGAGTAGACACTCTCTCTCCCACTGTCACACAGAAAGTGGGCTACTCTGTGTCTTCCTTATCTCATTCAGTAGAGCTTGGAAACCTTCCCCCAACAGTACTAATGAGCTGTTTCCCCCTACAAGTAAACCCCAAATTGACGAAAACCTAGTTCTTAGGCAGTGGTAACATATACTTCAAGAATCTGGCCAATAGCACCCACCACCTGGAAGAAGGTATCTCCGCTTCGGCACTGTGGAAGTCTGGGGCCAACCATTCTTGCTGTGGGGATGTCTCAGCACTGCAGGATGCTCATTTGTGCCCCTGGCCTCCACCCACTGGATGCCAATCGCACTCTCTCCCCACCCCCACCAAGTTATGACACCAAAACCATGTCTAGACACAGCCAAATGTCCCCTGAGGAAGAGCTGCCCCAGCAGGGAAGCCCTGGCCTATAACAGCGTCTGGCCCGTGGTAAGAGCTCAAAATCTGTTGATTGAATAGTTAAAAACAAAACCCAAGATGCCTGAGTTTAATCTTTCGGAGCATCCTTTCATCCTCATGTTTGTGCCCCATGGCTCCACCCCCTAAAGAGTCTTTTAAAAGCCATCATGCTCAGAAATACAGAATTCCTGTCCCCAGAACCACTCACTCCTCTGCCACCTCTGGCATGGTCTCTCCGTCATTCTAGGAAGGCAGGCCCTTGCAGCCTGCCAGTGCAGGACACTGACCCTGTGACCCTGTCAGCTCAAGGGAGGGTGTCAGTGGGCCAAGTGTCTGATTGGCCCCAGGCAGAAAGAATCCAAGAAAAAAGCTTCAATCACAGAACCTGTCACTGCCTGGAACCACTCCCCCCAACTCTGAAACCCTATATTCTGCTGCCACCTCTCATTCTTCCATGTGCCTCCTACCCATCTGACAGTTCTCCAGACTTCTCCCGCTCCTGGCCGTAAGTGCCCTGACGTTTGTTTCCTCCACTGCCCTGTTGCCCTGCTGCCCTGCTGCTGACCTTTCTTTACTCTCTGGACTTCTGCTCTTATGAGCAGAACCCCAGCCCCCCACATCCTCTGCACCCTTACTTCCTCTCTACTTACCAAAGCCTTCAACCCCGTAGCCACTGCCAGGCCTGTCCCAGTCTGAGCACTGAGCAGGGCTGGCTCCTGCTGATTGGGCCCCTGCTTGGAAATTGGCTCCGTCCCCTCCCACGCACACTGCCTTCTGGGCCTCTTCCAGAAGTCTGCAGAGCCTATTACACTAAACAGCTGACCTGTGGTGGCCGCCACTGCCAGGCTGCCAGAGCTAAGGCAGCTCCGAGGAACCCTAGGCTCCCAGACACAGTAGGAAGCCTCGTGTAAATAATACAGAAATGTCGGTCACACTTTTTGCCACTAAATAGTTTTTCCTAAGGGAACAAGATTCGATCTCAAACCATGAAGCAACAACTGCCCCAGGAAGTATCAAGCACACAGGTTATCAAAGGAAAGGTGCTGAATAAAAGACAAAATGTTAAGGTCTTCCAAACTAGGCTTAGCTACATAAGGCCATGAAAGGCATTCTCTTAATTATTGATTTCACATGAAACACTGTACTAGCTACTTTAGAGAAAGAATTATCAATCAGGGAAAAATTATGTATCAAAGAAAAGAAAAAAGCAGATTACCTTTTACAGGCGGATTTCTCTGTGAGCAGCTCTGGAGATACATACTGGGCTGTTCCTACAAATGAGTTGGCCCTGGCTGATGAGAGGGGAAAAGGGAGAGAGGTCATGCTGAGACACAAAGCACTAGCAACTGTGGATGTTCATCTATCAGGATGTCAGGGGTGACATGAGTACAAACTAGAACTTTTTATCAGCATAGCACTGAACAATCCTGAGAGCCTAACTTGTCCAGGGCCCTCCCTTGAATCCCCTTCTGGGACCCTCACTTCCCAGGGCTGGCTCAAAGGTCATCGGGCTCAGTGACACTGCCAGGGCAGCCCCTCCTGACACCTCTCCCTGCTTCATATTCTCCTGGAACCTCTCACTGATACACTAGAGCTACACTCATCCAGCATTCTGTCAGCTGGAATATCTCGAGGTACCTAAAATGCATCCAGACAGCCAGCAAGCATGCACTGAATGTCGCAGAACACAGAAAAGGACTGGATCCCCTGCAGGCTGTGTGCAGAGCTGGGAAACCCTTTCCTTGTAACAAACTGCTCAGGAAGGTAAGGGGCTATAAAGGGAATAAGACTCAAGCATCCCGGCAGGCAACCCTCTGCAACATCCTGTTGCCTGTTACTGGACTGTGCAATGCAAGGTTCACCAAATTCAAGAGCAGACCTGTGAGGTCAAGTGGCAGCAGGATGCTCTGGACCCAACCAGCACTAAAGAGAGGAGGCACTGACACTGGTTATCACTCCAGTGGCCCCCAAGGACCTCGGAGGCTCAGCAGTGGCTGCACAGCCCCAAACAGAGCACTTCGGGCATGAGCCACCTGCGACACCACACGGTTCCTGAGGCATCCTCCACGGGGCGTCATCTGGCGTCAAGGACAACACAAGTGCTCTCAGCCTTTCCCCAAGACCAGAGGATGCAGGGATTCCAGCATGAAAGCCACCCACCATGTGAGAGCAATTCACTTCTCTAAGGAGACCATGAAATGCTGTGTCATTTTCGATGATTCCCTGGTGACGTTCCATATCACAGCAGCAACCTGCCTCCCAAGACTTCCAAGCTGGCACTGTGTAACCAGACTCTGTAACTCTCTCTGAATGGCTGTTGGCAAGGCTCTGGTCCTAGCCAAGGAGACTGCCTTTCCCATCAACAGGTCCTAGCATGGCCCCATCTCCCACCCTGTCCCAGCAACCCACAGCAGACAGGAGACAATACTGTGGTTTAGTATCATTTTGTTCTGCACAAACAAGCCCCTTTAACCTAGCCTGACCATTCCGCAGATCAAGCTGTCCTTTCTCTCAACATCTTTAATGCTCTGCTAGAATTATCTACCTCTAAGGACAGATTTTCCTGAACCAGCCTCAAGTGTACCAGGTAGAATATCACCATACCTACCGCTGAGAGGTCTCGGGCCCTTTGGAAACACTTTTGAAATCAACACTAAAGACTGACAGGGGTCTTCATGCTCACTGACAAGTGTCAGCATTCCTCTAGGCAGGGTTCTCAGCTAGGGATAACTGAGGATATCTGGCAATGCCTGGAGACATTTCTAGCTGCCACTGTAAGACAGGAAGGGGCTACAGTTGCCTAGTGGGTAGAAGTCAGGGATGCAGCTAATCTTCCTGCAGGCCACCAGACAGCCTCACTGCCAAGAAGTCCCCACTCCTAACTGTCCCTAGGGGCTTGGCTGAGAACCCCTGAGTGGCCTCCATGTAGTCTCACTGGTACTGTGTGCTACACAAGTACGAACACCCGCCCTCTGAGGACACAGCCTGAACATGGCGGCAGCAGCTAGCTCGGTCCTGGGATGTTCTGGAAGAGAGGAAGCTGGAGAAGAGAGGATGGCTTAAATATCCTTCCTTCTCAAAACTGACCACCCTGGCTCATGCCAGGTGGCCCCAGGCAGGGCACAGGCTGCATTTGGTCTGCGGCAGGGCCCCTCCCAGGAGGCCCTGGGTCTGCACACCCAGTGGACAGCTTCGGAATGAGCCAGAGTACGATCCTGGGCTGCACCCAGGAATGACAGACCCAAAGGTCAGACTGGGCAGGTACCAGAGCCATGCTAAAGTGAATCCTGCTCCATCAGTCAACCCCTGCACAACAGCGCCCCCACAGTAATCGTGGCCAGTCCTCACAACAAAACAACCTGAGCATCAATCCTTCCCACGGATGTGCAAACAGCAATCAAGGCTCAACTACAAGAGGAGGGTACACACAACCCACACAAGGGACACACCTGGAGTACCTGGTGCAAGTGACCACTATGACTATGCCACTAGGCCCCACAGAACACCTACTACATAAGGCCATTCTATGAAGACTGGAAGACATAGCAGCTCTACCTAAAACATAGAAACAAATACAGGGAGGCAGCTAAAATGGGGAGACAAAGAAACATATCCCAAATGAAAGAATAGAACAGAGCTCCAGAAAAAGAACTAAACGAAATGGAGACAATCTACCAAATGTAGAGTTCAAAACATTGGTTATAAGGATGCTCAATGAACTTAGGGAAAAGAGGAACTCAGTGAGAACTTTAATATAAAGAGAAAATATTAAAATAGAGCTAGAAAACATAAACAAGAACCAGGTCAGAAATGAAGAACACAGTGACTTAAATGAAGACTACCTTAAGAGGAATCAACAGTAGATTTGATGAAGCGGAGGATCGAATCGGTGATTTAGAAGATAAGGTAGCAGAAAACACCCAATCAGAATAGCAACAAGAAAAAGGATTAAAAAAAAAAAAATGAAGATAGTTTAAGGGGTCTCTGGGACAACATCAAGTGTACCAACATTTGCATCATAGTGATACCAGAAGGAGAAGAGAGAGTTACAGAGTCTAAGGAATTGAGGACCTATTTGAAGAAATAATGGTGGAAAATTTCCCTAGCCTGGCAAAGAAAACAGACATACAAGCCCAGGAAGCACAGAGTCCCAAAAAAGATAATACAAAGAAGCCCACACCAAGACATATCATAATTAAAATGGCAAAAGTTAGAGACAAAGAGAATCTTAAAAGCAGCAAGAGAAAAGCAATTAGTTACCTATAAGAGAGCTCCCATAAGACTGTCAGCTGATTCCTCAAAAGAAACTTTGCAGCCCAGAGGGACTGGCACGAAAAATTCCAAGTGATGAAAAACAACGACCTACAACCAAGATTACTCTACCCAGCAAAGCTATCATTTAAAATTGAAAGCCAGATTAAGAGTTTCCCAGATAGGAAAAAGCTAAAGGAGTTCATCATCACCAAACCATTATTACAAGAAATGTCAGAGGAGCTTAAGAAGAAAAAAAAGAAAGAAATATGAATAAGAAAATGGCATTAACTACATATTATTTTAGCTGTAAATGGGTTAAATGCTCCAATCAAAAGACAGGATATGGATGAGAAAACAAGTCAATATGCTACCTACAAGAGATCCACTTCAGACTGAAAGACATATACAGACTGAAAGTAGAGATAGACAAAGATATTTTATGAAAATGGAAACAAACAAAAAACCTGGAGTAGTAATACTTATATAAGACAAAATAGACTTTAAAACAAAGGCTATAACGAGACAAAGAAAGAAGCAGTATCCCACTTCTGGGTGCTTATCCAAAAAACCCAAAACACTACCTCGAAGGGACATGTGCATCCATATGTTCACTGCAATATTACTTATATTAGTCAAGATATGGAAGTAACCTGAGTGTCCATTAGTGGATGAATGGATATACAATGGAATGTTACTTAGTCATTAAAAAAAGAATGAAATCTTGCAATCTGCAGCAACATGGATGGACCCAGAGGGTATTGTGCTGAGTGGAGTAAGTCAGAAAAAGACAAATGCCATATGATTTCACTTATATGTGGAATCTAAAGAACAAAATAAACAATACAGAAACCAAATCATAGATATAGAGAGCATTTTGAGAGTTGCTAAATGGATGGGGAGTTGGGCAGGGAGGGGTGCAGAGGGGAGAGGATTAAGAAGTACAAATAGGTAGTTACAAAATAGTCATGCGGATATAAAAGTTCAGCCTAAGGAATATAGTCACTAATATTATAATAATTATGTATGGTGTTGGGCACTAAATATATTGGGGGTGATCTCTTCATAAGTTATATAAATGTCTAATCACTATGTTGTACACGTGAAACTAATATTGTATGCCATCTGTAATGAAAAATAAATTATTTACAAAATATTTTATTGCAAAAAATCATCATTTAAAAAATCATATGTATGAATAAAATTTTATTTCCCAATGGACAAAAACAAAAAACAAACTGACCACCCTGTTACACATATGTTCCAGTTTAGGAAAAGTATATTTCTCTTCCCACATGGATTGACAGCTCTGTACTGGTCTTGGGCCTGACTCAGAAATAACTTGACAGGTTACAGCTATCTGTGATAAAACACGACAGACCCATGTTTTGTCTGTCTACAAAATTCTTTATAATATACAGCTATAAATTACATAATACCTAAATTAAAATGCAAAAGGAACCAAGGGCCTACAGCCACATCAATTCAGCATGCGATGGTTGGCACTGAGATAGGTCTGCTGGCCATAGTGGCCATCATATCCCCACCCACCATCCCCAGGCAGCCCTAGAGCCAGAGTGGGACCCATGGGGGAAGACTTCCGGGATGCTGGTTCAACGGCCTCCAAAGGCAGGTACCCAGGAAGAAAACACAAGTCAATGTGCTGACTGTCCTCAGAGGAGGTCTCTGTCCTCAAGGCAGGATCCTGTGTACTGGAGCCCTGGAGCCGGCAAAGGTAGGCAGAAGATGGGGTTTATTCCTCCTGCCCCCACATGCTGCATCCCCTCTCCCACCAGTGGCCCCCCAGATGTTGGTCCCTCCCACCTGTCCCCCAGGGCTCAGATCCAGTCCTGTTGCTTCCTCTGCCCTGTTGCCTTAACTGGTTCCCTTGGTGAGTTATTCTCCTATAAAGACTATGAGGTTGCATATGCATCCTGCCAGGACCCTGACTGATACTGCCAAGAACACTGAGGTGATTCATGAGAGAGAAAAACAAACCAAGAGCCAAAACCAAATGAAACCATTCAACCACAAATGAATC